GGTACTCTGCCCGCTCTGGTGCCGAGTTGTGTCGGTCATGTGTGCCACCCACCCATCAACTTGCTTCACTATTGCAAAGTCTTGCTTGACTACAGTATTTGAATTGTAATTGTTGTTCACAGTTTGCCTATCATCATATTATTACTCAAATTTCTGTATCTCATTTTGTTTCTAATAATTTTTTGTTTATCATGAAAAATAGGACCCCTTCCTGCACCCCCTCTGGCCAGGGCTAGGGGGGTGCATCCCCCCCCCAGTAAATCCATCTCTGTGTTCTTGTTAAAACATTTCGGGTTCCAAATCTTCTTGATAGTTCATATTAAACTTTAGCAGGCATGCGAGAACATGGTAGATGCATAGAAGTTGTCATGATAACAGGTGGTGCCAATATACATTGTTGTTCATTGTTGATTAATTGATTCATTGACATTATTGACACTCCCCTGAAGGGGCTTTTCAGTGACAAAAATTACAAACACATAAACTTACTGTATTATTACTACATTAGTCCTAATTAATTTTATTGAAACAGATTACTAGCAAACAAGGAAAATTTCACAAAAATTGCAACATCAACATCAACAACAACATCAACAACAACAACAACAACAACAACAACAACAACAACAACAACAACAACAACAACAACAACAGCAATGATAACACACCACCAGTAGCATCGACAACGCTTATTGATCAACTACTGAAAAACAAGTACTTAATAACTATCCAGGAATTGCTGGAGAAGTTTATGTCTTAGTTTTAACTTTACATTTTGCAGAGTTTTGGAAGCCTTCTTATACCATAATTGATACATAACATCAACATTTCTGCTGTTTATAATTGTTTTTAAATATAATCTATTTCCTTTTAGAAAATGTCATAGTCAGGGTTGATGGCACACAAATCAACTGTTTATGCCTAGGGCCAAATAAAAATAATAGTTGGTTTCAGGTTTCCGACCGACCTGTCAAAAATATGACCGACCATAAACATGTTATTGACATTTGAATTTCCAGTAGAGATCGATCTTTTCGTAAATAGCAGGATATATATATAGTCATCAGACTCATTTGTCTACAAATTATTTCGTTTGCTTATAATTTAATCATTATCTAGTCATGTTAATCATAGTAAAGAACAGTTGAATAAAATATTAAAAACGTACGTTATTCTGACATTGCAGCTACGGCTGAAAAAAGACGAAAACGCCTTGATGCGTTTGTTTCTCGCGAAACACCTGTAGCTCGCGGGTGATCCGGTTATTGTATGCTTGAGATAAAATATTTTTTAAAATAAAATGTTTTTCCGACCTACCTACCCATATAAAACATGGCTGTGAAACCTGAAACCAACTATTATTTTTATTTGGCCTAGTAAATATATCAAATAGGTCATATATTGAAAGTCATTCATCAGCAACAAATGATGACAAGTATGGAAATTAGAAGTATAATTGATGCATATAGTTCTTGAATAGAATGATATAATTCAGCATAACAGATCCATGCAATAATATTTTGTCGTGGAAGAAAATCCACTAAACAGAATATTATGTTAGTTTTGTACATTGTGTGCTATATTAAATAAGATCCCATTATGACATATGGTTGTTGTTGATTATAAGACAATATAGTATGGGATAGGTGAAGGGGGATATAAATTGCTTAACTGGTGTTCTTGGCAATGACATTCAGTTGCAGAAATCAGGGTCGATGAAGAAGGGAGCACCCCGTCCAGGATATATAGTTAATAATTATGACTGGTTGCAACTGTTACTATAAGTATTGATATTCCAATCTAAAACTGAATCTCTGCTCTTTATGCAGCCACTATTACTTTGCCTTGCTTTAATGAAAGCAATTATTCAATGCACATACTGCTAAAAAGTGCTTTATTAAGAGAAATGTTTCCAATATGTGTAACTTAGCTTCTGACTCTGCTAAATTTGTATAAAAATGATCTATCAAAGTCTGTAATGAAAGCAGACACCAATTGTCTATAAAGAAATTATGTAACCTTACGAAATTATAAGCCTTCTATTGGTTTCATTCAACTAATTTATATTAACTAAGTCACCAATGAAAATGTTAAATTGAGAAGTACATAAACATCAACATCAACACTTACAACTCAATATACACCAACAACGGCAACATGTGGAAGAATCATTACTTTCATAATTTCATAATAGTATTCTCAATGCCATTAGTCAATAATTTTCTTGTCGAAAATTGCAAATCATTTCGTTTCCACTGCGTATTAAATGATGAAACCTTTCAAATGCTTGCCAAAAATGCACTAGCGACATTTGCCATATTCAGACTAGTAAAATGACGTTGTTTTAAACTGCATTCAGTGGTTTCAAAACATTTCATAGTAGACGTTGCGTTGGGAAGAGTAGGAGTTGCAACCGAAGGCCGAACTTCGCAACTTGGGGGATCCGACGGCATGCTCAGGGACCGCGGAACCATTTTTGTATTAGAGGGGGGGGGGGCTATAGCGAACGCCGAAGGCATGAGTTTGTTAGGGGGGTCCTGGCCGAGGCATGCTCCCTCAAGAAATTTTGAAATCTGAGACTTCCCAGAGCCCCGGAAATGCAATCAAATTCACTAGTTGATGTTGAAAAGTTTCTTAATAAACGACTCTTAAGCCCCGTTTACACTACGCTCAATTTTTGGTACGACACGGAGAAATTTGGTACCCGTACCCCTTTTTTGGTTCTTAGACTTTCCAAGAACCAAAAAAGTGGTACGGTCGTAGTGTAAACGGGGCTTTAATCGATTATTACCCGTCGGCGTCATTTGTTTAATCCGGCAACCAGAAATATATAAGTTATAAATATATTGTTAACTGATCTGAAGGAGTTTAGTATTCTTATTTTATAAAAATCACATATGTATGGAAAAATGTTGGGGGCTGAAGCCCCCCAGTCCCCCCTGTTCCGCAGTCCCTGATATTGCTTCCAGAACTAAATTGTGAACTTCTAGAGTGACTCTAGAAGATCCATTGTCCAGCATTTGGTTTTGAGACAAAAAATCATATTTTAAATGTCTAAAACACTGTTAAATTTATGTTCTTATAATTAATGTCTATTACAACAACGTGCAATAACAATAGCGACCACATCTCCGCTGGCTTTCGTTGTCGTTTTTCCGCCATTTTGTTTTTGTTCTTGGAGACGAATATGACATCTTACATAAAGTACAACCTGTTAGAAACCGCTACCAAGAAAACCTCTGAGCCTGTCCTCAACGCGCGCAAGAGACGCGTACGTATCAAAGCTTCTAATCTAGTAATCTGTGACTGTGGCCATGTTTCCACGAAATTCCAGGGGAAATACGCGCTTGTTTGCTCACAAAACATTTTGTAAACACTTAATTAGAATTTATAGTTACTTACAAAAGAGAAAGTAGCCGTCGCAAATGGAAGAGTTGCAGTCGGATGCGACGGGCGACGGCTTATTTTGAAACCACTGGCATTTGATTTCGTAAATTCACAAATTGCCTTTTGTTTCACACTTTAGTAAGCCGCCATTTTGAAATTAGTATCATTACGTCATTTCATCTATAAGCTGTCGTTGATTGGCTATGAGCCACTGAGCTATACTATATTACTGGAGGACGTGCTCGGCATCAAAAAGTGTCGCCAAAAACATGGCGGATTTTCGCGCCATATGACGCCATTTCCATGACAACTGGTTCCTCCGGCTCATGCAATTACCGCTGACCAGGCTCAATTCTGTGCCCGCTACAATTTTCACCCCCCCCCCTGGTTTTATCAAAAAAATTTTTGCTTTTCGAGGTTTATGCAGTAAAATCTCGCCGTTTTTCATATTTTTTCGACTTTTGACCATTTGTACAAAGATTTAAAAGTCGTACACGCTATTCTTACCGGCGAAAGACAACAAACCAATATGAAACGCCCGAGAAATTTAGGCAAAGGCGATATGTGATGGCAGAGCTCACAGGTATAAACCGTCAAATATATTTCACATACTGTTGATATGCTTTTATTTTAAATTTTTAAAAGATAATGCGAGTAAATGATAGAATATAATCCATTAGATAACAGGCTCTTTGTATAGTATAACGTATTATTTTCCCCCATGTGTTCAAAGTCTTGTCGTAAAAAATACAGAAACTTTGTTTCTATATTTAAATTAATTTTTTTTGTTGCTTTTTTTACTTTACCAGCTTTGTCAAATTGTTGGCTGGCCATGGATTTTGTTAAACAAATTTTGTTTTATTTAATTCAGTTAAATCAGTTTTTTCCCTCAAATCCTTTGGGTTTTCTATATATACTGATGACTGAAATCTGACATGCTTGATTTTATGCAATTGTATGTGCTAAATAAGTGTATATACAGGTATAAAGGCATGAAACAATGTGCTTCTATATCTATATTCTTTGTGTTTATATATACTAGAGTCTGTGGTTATAGTATGCATAATCTATTCTTGGGTGCCAGTAGAAGCTAGCCTAGGGGTGCCAGAAGCTCAGGATACTGTGGGCAACTTATCTGGTAATATGATTTTTACCAAGATTTCTAATGACATGACTAATGACAAGTTGAATTGAGGATTCTTGAGCCACTATAAATAGGATTGTACTTCTTGAATGTTGGGTACCAATTACAAGTGTAGGTATAAGCAAAATATCTAGATTATAGGCTTTATAGGGTTGCACTGGATCTCATTATACAGGCTAGAACTGAGAAAGTCACACATGCTAGTCAGACATCAAGTCAGAAACAATTTAATTGGTAGATAATGTCACTTCCAGTCCATGCAGGTGGATTTATTTGGGATTTTGTTCATTTCAGTCCTCTCTCTGTGCACCCCTGTGTCAGAGAGTGCCTCGCATGGGTCTTGAGTCCCGTTCGCACTCTTGCCGTTTGAACATCGTTCAATAAAGCTGTTAAAACTAAACTAAACTAGATGCAATTACCTGAAACTAAGAAATCAATGAACTTCAACATTTCAGGTGAAAGACCTATATAGTATTATTTTATTTTTCAGGTAGTTGCCTGATACATTCAAGCCTTTAAATAGTGTGGTGGCTTAAGCTGCTTTTTTCATTTCCTTTCTTCACTTTCTTACTCTTTTGTCTCTAGTGAAAACTTTATTTTACAACATTTGAATTATATAATCTCTTTTTGGTCTAATTGCAGAATTACTTGATGGTGAGACAGTTCATAGTTCAACCTCTTTATTAAAGAATAATCAATTATCAATTATTAGAAATAATTAATTTTGTTAGCAGTGATAAAACTACCCAGACAAGTTATTATTATGACTTTTGTAGCCAGATGGGTATGATTTTGCTTTGGCTGTTCAGCATTTTGATCCATTGTGATATGTCTTGTGGTATCTGTGAATGATTTTACCTGCAAAATGAATGACAGAATATCAGAATGTAACATTACATTAAGATACATCCTTACACTGCAATAAAATTATGTAATAGATGTTCAGTGTGAAGAATATGGTCTTTGACACTCTTTGTATATAATAAACATGCTATTGTGAAATGGAAATGATCAAATAAAGTTATTTCTGCAACAGCCCTTGCATTCAAACACCTTATTTGTATTTTTCTTGTTCATGCTTGAGCATCAGCCTCAGGATAAGCAAATTCCATTGGATTTGTGAGGGCACTTGAACTATATTGGGTCATTACATGAATTACAGAAAAAATTCAGACTCCCACAGCCTGTGCTACAAGTTACAGCTGTAACAGTGTAGAGGGAGGATCCACAAGTAAAATGTGCTAGAATATCCAAGAGGGGGGGGGGGTGATACAAATAAAAATGATGTTTAATATGACTTAAAATTATTAAGCAATTGAGTGCAAGTAAAATTATCTGGTATTGGACTGAGTAGGATAACAAAGTAGGGCATAGTGTTCCTTTATTAATCACTTATAATAAAGGTTTAAATGCTGAATTTTTTTAAAGTGCCAGAGTGGCAACTGGCAGGGTACTGAAAAGGTAGGTTGTGCACATGCATCCTAAATAAATACTGCTACAAAAATCTGGTAGTTAACAGTTAAAAGTTAAAACGTAAAACCAATCACGAATTTCATTATTTCAAAGTAATATAAAACAAAACAAGTCGGTAAAAGGATTTTGAACCCAAGATATGAGATAAAATTACAGTATGAGAATGAGTTTGAATATAAATAACAACAAAAAAGAGGATACAAAACTACTGTGATATTGTTGAAATTAGCAATATTATACATTTGCTGTTTATAACAGTAGTTTTTGACATAATGTATTTATGCTTTTCCATCGAAATTGCAAGTTAAATTTGCCCGAAGCAGCCCAAGTTTTGGCAAGCTTGAACTTAAAAAAAGTAAAAGAAATAACTCTTTTGTGAATCTTACCTGAAAACAAGAAATATAATAATCCTTTCGAGTGAATTGTTTCATCTACAAGCAGACTAAAAATTTAAAACTAACACACTTTTTTCTCGACTGCAAAAATATCAAAATGTTCAGTCGAAACTCGAAAATTATGATCAAAATTTTTGCAAAAACCAGGGGGGTGAAGGATTTTATTTCAAGCGTAGGATCGCGGTTGGTCAGTGGTAATTGCCATGAGCCGGAGGAACCATATGGCGTCAGCAAACGTGAAAATCCGCCATGTTTTTGCGGACACTTTTTTGACTGACGAGAGATAGGAGCACCTCCTCCAGTAATATTATAGCTCAGTGTGGTATAACCAGTGAACTCTAATAATAACTGGAAGGCTAAGTCAGGGGGGGAAGTTGAAGCCGTGCTTGAAGCTTTTTTTGTAGGTAGACCCAGTCCTTTTTAAATTTTTTTTTCAAAATATGCACATTTTTCGATCAGAAAAATCTTGCCCCAAAATATTAGTTATACTACCAAATTTAATTTATATCAGTAGTATTATAAATTAATTTAATATTCGCAAAGCAAACAAATCACGAATTAGCAAAAAAATACGAAAAAACACGGCCATAAGCATGAACAGTCAGAAAAACCGCGCGTTTTAGGCTGCTTTTTCTGAGTTTTTGGAAGTTTAAGATAAAACTAAGACGTCATACCTCAGGAATTATTTAAACCCATGCAAAATACATCTGTATGCGAAGTTTCAAGAAGATTGAACGTTTTAAGGTCGAAAAAAAAAGCATTTGAAAATTGACAAAAATATTGCCATATTCAAAATGCTCATAGTGGCCAACAAGATGCCGATGACGAAAATAACATAACTTGAAAAACGCCAATTTATTTATGTTTAAGAGCGACTAAAACAAGGACTAAAAGCTCAGGATCAATAACAATACCTAGGGTTTAGTACAACATAAGTTTTAAGACTGTCAAAATGTTTTATAGTATATATTTTTGAGTTGAACGGCGAGATTTCCTTCGGCACGTCCAAACTTTCGTCATTTTTTCAAAATACAAAAGCAAAATTCCTTACTTTTTGCTGCAGAGAGATGTAAAACAGTCGGAACTAATCGGAAACTTGGTTTAAATCCCAATCATTGTTGTATTCCCATGGGAAAAGTGTTTTTCTTGCACATTTTTGCTCGAAAACAAACTTTTGACAGAATTTTTTTTCCTCCTCGAAACTCTCCTTAGTCCTTTTGAAAGCTGATTTTCCCGCGCGCCGGCTTCAACGAATCATGGACTTTCATCATAGGAGCAGTGAACTCTCTCTCTCTCTCTCTCTATATATATATATATATATATATATATATATATATATATATATATATATATATATATATATATATATATATATATATATATCTATCTATCTATCTATCTATCTATCTATATATCTATCTATATATCTATATATCTATATATCTATCTATATACCGGGTGTCCCAAAAAAAAGTACTCCTGTTTGATTTATAAGAACTTCTAAACAAGTAAAGCTATCAAACAGAAATAACTTGCATTACATATAGGAAGGACTAACTTAGATTTTGATATATTACAGCAACCTCGTTCCCAGGCTTTTTGCTCTTGGGAAGCAAAGACCCTGGTCGGAGCTGGTCACGTGACCCATTGAAAATTGATAGCCCAAGAGGGGGATGGAAAAGTCTCATATTACATGTTTCCACTTCCGCACTTCGATTGCAAGGAGTGGCCGTTCTGTATAATCATCTAATTCATCTTCAAGAATCATATATACCTCAAACTACTTGCTGAATTGGTTTCTGTTTGCTTTGAAATTATACAAACATGCTAAAATGTAGATTCTTATAGCAACAGAAAATTCAGGAAATCAAGCAACGAGAACGTATGGCTGTACGCTTTGAAATATTTTTATTTTCTCGGACTTCGCCGGTTCGGGCGTAGTTTCATTTCACGCGTACGTTTCTGTTCTGGCTCTGATATTTATAATATGCTTATAATATGCCAATGAATTGTTCTGATATGGACACGGTATAAATGTTTTAAACAGATGTCTCAAAAGCGACTGTTTATAGGTCGTAGGATTAGCGCTTTGCCGGTCTTAAACGTGACACATTTGGACACAAGCCAAATACACATTGAATGTCCATTTTATTGATTCTAAAACTGTTTATAGACATATTGCTCTAGCTTTTTTAAAAAGGTTATCATCGTTTATGTTAAACACCAGGAAGACAAAATATAACGTACAAAATTGTTTGAAATCGACAGTGGGTGTCAGTGCACAGCTGACATACGACAATTCACAACTGCATGAATTTCCTTTTTTGTCGATCTGCACGAGTACCTGTTTGTTGAAGCCAAAATATTGCACAGCATATCCTATAAATTCTATCGCCATTTACCCTCCCCCCTTAAATGCAAAGGAATGACAGCAGAAAAGGTTTAGCAAAGTATTTTTTATTACATCTGGTATAAAGTGTCCTACGTTTTATCAGGATATACATCATTCATAAACTGTATATGCACACGAAGTTTCGCTTATTAATGAGTTTTACTGTAACAAACCTTTTAAAGTTTCCATTGATAGATAGGTTGTTTGCCTCCAGTATTGTTTGGTAAAACAGACTAAACTTCTAAAATATTGGTTACGGAATACGCCGATAAAGATTAAAGTTGATTTAAATATTGATAACTCACAGCGGCATTAATCCATTATACAAGTCTCAAGAAGCTGGATTATTCTTCAATAAAGCCCTCAATGGACAATGCCAATGTCAATGAAAGGTCTAATATTATACATGTTGCAAATTACTGTATACACAAAATATGAAATAATTTATATAAAGTACAATACCAATGTCTGGTGCACATGCATATCGTCGTAGGTATTCAAGTTGTACCGCACGCACGGAAACGCATGGAGGAGTCTTGGCGTTTGTGTGATATTAACAGATAGCTAACTACACTTCGACATTATCTTTCTTGATCGTTGAGTTTCAGCAATGTAAATGAAATGAATTTTATAGCCAGTCCATAACGGGTTTTCATCCTGTGCTTTTACAGTCAAAATAGCACTATTGTTTACACATGTTGGCGATGTTTGGGAAATCAAAGGATCCCGTTATGAAATAAATCTTTTGTTTTGAATATCGGACAGGATACACTTCAACTATAAAGAACCATATCGTTCGTTTAATACCGTTTGATTGATCAGTCTGTGTAGAAGATATGTATGTTTCTACGGCGATACGTGCTAAACTTCGCAAGCCAGGCGCGTGTGGAGTGTTTTCCTTGCTAGTGAAATATGATCCAGCTTCTCGCTTGAAATGTAACGCAACACTTATTGTTGATGACATTCAGCACAGCAGGAAGTCTTTGTCATGATCGGTACGAATCTAGAACGTTCCTTTCACAATCTCTTGTTGCAAATGACATTTTTATCACCCGAAATTATAACACATAAAGTTGCAATTTTCCAAACGCAACAAACACGCTCCTCTACCTCCCGACCCATAGTCAAATTATACGTTTACCCCCAGATTCTGGGTGTGACGTCATCAGCCCCGACCAGGGTCTTTGCTTCCCAAGAGCAAAGAGCCTGGGAACGAGGTTGTCCTCCCCCCCCCCCCATCGCCAAAAAAATTTCGGCCACTGTACCATTTTAGGGGTCAAAAATTTTTCCGGACAAGTAGATTGCATGCACTTAGAGACTTTATCTCATTTTTTATGCATAATTTCAGTACTTAGCCCAATAAAACAGATATGTTGTCCTTTGCACGGAAATATTTAACACAGAAAAAAGACTGCCGGGCCCAACAAAAATTTTTCAGGGGCCCCCAGCACCTCGGGGCAATTTGCCCCCCCCCCCCTGGCGACTCTGTATATATATATATATATATATATATATATATATATATATATATATATATAGTGCCAGACAATTGTACTTGTCAAGGGGATGCGCTGGTGCTCAATGTGTTAAAAAATTATAAAAAAATTTAAAATTACCATGTGTTTGCATGGTGCTAATCTGCACAGATGGCCATAATACCCAAATATTTAAAGGGTTATAGATTCATGTCTTGCTGTTTTATCTGTTAGGTCAGCTGTTAGGGTTAGGGTCAGCAATCGTGAGGGTGGTTGTACAGTGCAGGCTATATTAAGAAGCAACTGGAAATTATTTTTCCCACTATCTATTTATAGTATACTAGGCCACAACCTCATTCCCAGGCTTGACCAGCCTAGCACTGCTAAGATTTACCATCAGAAGAAAAACTGGTGAGTACTGTACTTATTCAAATGTTATATATGGCCATATAAAAAAAAATAGTTGGTTAGCGTCCTTAGCTTTTGCCAAAAAGTGGGCGGGCGGGCGCTTTTTTTAAAATTTTTACTAATTTTTAACACCTAGGTTTTACTCACTGTTAGGTCCGAAACTGGATTTTCTTGCGCAGTACAGATATTTTTTTTATATATTTCAAAATATAATTCATACCGTCATTTCCGCACGCAATTTCGCAAATTATTAACACAATTGACTACAGTCAACAGAAATACTACATATATTAGAGCCCGTTGATCAATAAAAGTCATTTTTTTTTAAATAAAAAATAAAAAAAAATCCTGAGCGGGGCCTTTTTTGTGGGCGGGCGGGGATGCTAACCAACTGGGTTTTTTTTATGTGGCCTATTGCAAGTAATTTAATATTGGTAGATCAGGCCATGAAATTTGAAATTTTCAGCACTATCCAATGGGATACTAGTAACTTGGAATCTGGTATCCACCCAGATAATCTAGTATCCCACATTTGGATAGTTATTAATAGATACCCTAAGAAGCCGTAACCAAATACTGAAACAATTGAGGATTTGAGGCCAAACAAGCTTTCAATTGCCAGAAAACAGAGTCATTGGAAAAGAGTATGCAAATCTGCAAACACAGACATGGTGAATAATAACACATATGACAATATATTAAACAAAGAAATCTCTGTGGAGAGGAATCTATTTTTAATATCGCAATGGACACTGTGCTTAATTGTGAGGTCCAGTATCCAAATATAACCAATTACCCTCGAAAAAATCTCTTTGTGTCAAACTTTCAGGAAACAATTTCTTGATGTTAATTCCCCCAACTCTGTACTGTTGGCACCAGTAGTGGACTACTGGACTGGGGGACTCAACAATCAACATTACTGATATCTTTCCTTTTAAATTAAAAATTAATATATAAATAGAATCTGGGTGAACATGACCTCTCAGGCTTTGATCTGGTGATGACTTTACCATAACAACATGAAAGATGCGTCGAAATTGGTAGAAAATGCCTAACATATTGTAAATAATATACATACACAAAACTTGCATATTAAAAATGTACACAAGTTCTACGTTAAAATTTATAAAACTGTCAAATACCTTTTTCTGTTTTGCTTTGCTCTTGACCATTTTGAGCTTCGTTTTCAATAATTGATATTTCCATCAATGGTATTCCTCGTTTCTTTTCAATATCATTTTTTCTTGATATTTTTCTGTTTTGTAGAGCTACGAACGCCCTTGTTTCACGATCTGCTTGCCCTTCTTGTTTCTTGCATTTCACCATGGACTGACGCGTTGGTTTCAAAGAACGGGATGCCATTTTTATCCAATAGTTAATGGCGCACAATAAATGTTACTTTGACAGCTTGGTTGCCACGAAAAAATCCGAAATTTTATCTTAAAAATATCAAAATTCAGACATTCTAGAGACACCACTGAGAGACACGAACAATAAAGCAAGAACGTATTCGTTTCAAATTTTGTAGCACAAACGTGATTGGTTAATCGTGAACATGTGACGTATGAGACGTTTTGTGTTTCCACTTATGAAAATTTTCTTTCAACTTTCCGTTGTAAATTCCTTCGTAAGAAATTTTAGTACCGTCGCTTGCATCTACCAATGGACACTTGCAGATAAATATATTTTGGCCATTCTAAAGCGAAAAAGAACGCAACGTTTTGATATAATTATGTTTATGTTAGTTTATGTTTATACTTACGTTGCGTCGCAGTGAGGACAAGACTTAATTTACGACCCGCATTTTTAAATTTTTTTCTACTCCTCCCCCCTCCACCCAGTGAAAATTCCTTATTAAAAAGGACATTGTGTGTGGTTCATGTGAATCAAAGTGAATCATGGTGTAAAGCAATATATGAAGAGACGCTTGAAATCAATGACATTAAGTCGAGTGATCATCTATCGATGTATTTGCCGGTGAGATTAGTGAATTAGGCAATTTTTCAATTGGATAGTTTTAATTAAGGGAAAGTACATTTATTACGCCGAGGGATGAAGATGTTTTGAAAAAAGCTCATAATTTTACAGGGCCTCTGTTGAGGCTATTGGTAAATTTTCGATGCCCCCCTCCGAGTTTCTAAAATTTTCAATGCCCCCACCCCCCCAACAAAAAAAATTGGAATCGAAGGAGTACAATCCGGAATTCTCTCTTGTCATAGATACAATTTGCAGTTCTCAAGATGTCTGATATACTCAAGCAAGCGCTTCTCCTCAACATAAATACCAACTTGCTGCTTCTTTCACCTCACTATTGCCAGATGAAATGGCACCGTCTTTAAAAAGCATTTTAGATTGGCTCTAGGGGCGAAATTATCCGACAGGTTGTTGTTGTCCGTCATTCAGCGTAGTCGGAGTTTTGAACACGTTCAGGTAGTGGCGGGGATTTGCTGGATCAAGTTAATGTTCTGGAACCTTAGAGAACCTCGCCCCCACCCAACTTATCTCCTGGTATCTGTTGCAAATTTCTTTGCATGCTTGTCAAAAATGCATGCAAAACCCCAGTATGCTTCAATTTCTTTAATTTTCATCCCGTTTGTACTAAATATCCCATGAACATAGAACATGATGATATTATTCTTACAAATCATATGCATTTCTTGTTTTTGGATCTGCTACTTTTTGGCGGGTAAATTGCTTCACAAGCCTGGCGCCAAAAAAATTTAAAACAAGCCATAGGTGATTTCATGTATCCATTTTAATAGAAGAGCAGACTAATGATATGTCTTAATTATAATTAAAACTGAAATCGGTTTCGATATACAACAATCAGGGACGTAGCGAAGCATCTGACGTTTGGGGAAGTCTAATAATTATAATCCTGAAATCTAATAATTATAATAAAGCCTTTTGTGATTGATTGGCAGTCTCATAGGGGGGTCTGGGGGTCCTCCCTCAGAAAATTTTTACATTTTTTTAAGCTCTAGGACTGAATTTCTGGCGTTTTCTAGAGCAAATTTGCAAACAAATTGCATGTAAATCAGGGGTGGGTAGTAGCGAAGTAGTTGCAGTCTGTAGCGAACTACAATTTTCAAGTAGCCAGTAGTTTTTGACTACTTTTTTAAAACAGTAGTTGTAGTTATAGCGAACTATATTTTGCCTAAAAGTAGCCAAGGGAAGCCTCGCATATCGATTTTGTCCACGAGAAACGTCATATGTTCGTTTCTCTGGAGACCCCCCCCCCCTTAGAAACGTCACACATAGTTATCGATATTTTGTTCTTTAATATAGTACACATAAAGTAATTTTCTACTATTTTCTACGGTGGCTATTGGCGATGCTTCCGTGAGGAAATTTCCAACGTTTCTCAAAACAACTTTTTTGCATGAAATATTGATAATTTTAGCGCGTTTTTTTTTAAACTTGAGTCTTTTAATGCAAGCCAGGCGTAATAATATAAATGTATACTCGTATATAGAACAGGTATAGTATTACGAATGTAATAATTTTTTTATTCTGCAAAGATGATTCCAAAATGTCAAGGCTTTCCGCGAAAAAACTATCGAATTTTTCCACGATGTTTACTGAGAAACGTCACAGCTGCAAACCCCCCACCCCCAAACGAACATATGACGTTTCTCGTGGAAAAAATCGATATGTGAGGCTTCCCCAAGTAGTTGATTACTTTTCAAACAGCGAATCGCTATTCGCTACTTTTTAAAATTGTTAGCAACCGTTCGTAAGTGGCACTCCTGAACACTGAAAAGTGCTTTAATACAAAAATGTTTCTTTGACCCTTTTTGTTTACTGTTGCTACTCGTAAGTCGATTTGTTAAGGCCTACTCTGGGTTTGTTATAGGTTAAATTACAGCCTGAAATAGATAAATAAAAATCAGTACCGAAAAACTAAAAAATATAGAGTAGCGAAATAGTTCGCTACATTTTTTTAAGCAGTAGAATAACATAAGAGAGATAACATAAGAGAGTTCATGACAGTAACAATAAGGAATATAAAAAACATGCATCAAGAAACTATTGTAAAACAATTTAAAATTTTGCTTGTTGAATTTGCAGGGATTCAGGAAAGTTTGATCATATTTCCCCATTGTTAATTTAGAATGCTTTATTGGAGAAATTTAAAAATACTTATTGAATTTCTATTTATAAGGAAAAATAGTAAATAAATGTTATAATTGTTATGTGCTACATTTGAATACTGAAATTGGCGAATTTCTGCTTGAGAGATTTCAGGTTGCAAGCGCCTGCTTGCTATTTTGTGTAAAATATAATTGGCACTGATTTTTACGATCATTTATTGGGACAAAATAAGTAAATATACGTAGTTGAATACTTTACATAAAACACTATTTATATATAGTAAAGCCTGTTGGGCCCCTGCTTTCAAGGTTCTTTTCAGGGCCTCCTTTATAGTGAGCTTATAGTAAAGCCAAGATAGCCCGGACCCTTCTGAGGGAACCAACTGACCCCTATACACCAAGTACCAAAAGTGCATAATCAATAAATTCAGAAACAGTGTTATCACATGGCAATCTTACAAAATCTAAAAAATAGTTCTGGGAATCAGAACTTGTCCATCTGGTAGTTTTGTGAGGAAAAGTGGTGAATGCAGGTAGGTCACTCTGTAATGGTAGTTATAAAAGCAACATATATACGAAATAATATATCACACATATACCTCATTTTCCTCTTCTGGAATTTCATCATCAAAGGAATCAAGAGGGATATTTCTTTGCAAAGGCCTTACATATATTTTTGCTTTGCCACAGACATCCTTCAGTCGCAAACTGCAGAGCGGGGGCTTGATTGTATGAAATCCTCCATTCTCCCCGCCTCCTCTCTGGTGCAATAACAATTCATAACCGCCTGTATCACTGAGTTTGGGAAAGGTTTTCAGAACTTCTTCATGAAGATATACACTGCTATCATTCAGCTCCAAGAGTATTGTAGTATCACCAAGTCCTGCATTACAAAGATCAGTTTTTTTCTTTCACAGATAAAGGAGGGCAGTTGGTTGTGCTATCCGCAAGACAAACAAATTTAAACTTTGTTGCAGGTTGCTTTCCCTTGCCCTTCGTACTTTGTTTGCCTTTGCTTTTGGTAACTAAATGACGAGTTTTCCCAAAGTTGAAAAGTCGCCTGTGCTCACTTGCAGCATTGGAGGCAGTACTGGAAGAACTGCTTGTTGTTGCTTCACTCTCAGCCTCAGGTGGTCTGCTACTTGTTGTCTCTATTTTTAAGTGAATACATCAAGAATTTATCATAAATTGACCATTATAATGCTACTTTTTTATTAGGGTTGCATGATAATTTGTAAACTAGCAATAAACTGTAAAGTTTGAGAGAAAAATAATGACCTAATTTAAATAATCGCTCCTGACTATTAAATATATATCAGTCCTCCCAATACAAAATTGCTTCCTACAGTATAGTGCAGGAAAAAATCGCAACTAAAATTGCAACAAGTGCCAACAATACAACAACTTTAATACTGTGTAATGTAGAAAATGGAGGGGTATTCTGCAATCTAACCTGATCAAAAGTCAAATACGAGCCGCCAACACCATATCATATTAAAATCATAATTAACTATTTATATAATACATATCATGTACATTGTACAGTATATGAATAATTCATGTTCTTGAATTTACATATTAAAGCGAACCAGCCTGTACAAAATGGATAAGGAAAATAAAACACTGAATATATAAAAAGTTTAATTACTTTAGTACTTTACCTGATGAAGATTTGTTGCTCCCTAAGGCCGATATTTGGTCAGCAACCTTCAGAAGTGTCGCTCTAACCTGATTCAACCAGTGAACTCTATATATATATATATCTGGAACGATAACAGCGAGCGAAAAGTGAAGCCGACAAAAAAATCACGACATAAGTATTCGTCATTGTCTTCGTCATCAACTGTTCAAGAACTTTCTTACAGTATTAAAAATCACTTGCATATAAAATTTGTAATTGTTTTGAAAGTTTTTATCACAGTTTTTATATCTTTATTCACTTTTAACCTGAAGATGGAGTTATACTCCGAAACGTAGTTATTAAAATAATTTTTTACTAAGCCCATATGGTCTAATTTATATTCAAACACACGTACATATTCATTTACATTTTGCTGGCAGGCAAATTCCGATCGCACAATAAATTTTTTAAAAAATAACGTACCAGTGTATTGACTAAAAACTATAAAACTGGTAAACTAAAAAACAATTCAAACAATCGCGAAAAATGGCAACGGCAAAGTCACAGTTGCAAGTCAATTTACCTACCTGTGAAATGAAATTTTCTCGCAAAAACATCTCTTTCCTTGTGCATCCAGAACGACAGTACGACACAATATACTTGAAAAAGTGATTCTTTTCTCCACACGGGGAAGTTTTCCTCGACTTTTTTCCGACAGCGAACTCAATGCAGTAAATTTTAGGAGCAAAACAGTTTGCTCCTAAAATGTATTGCATTGAGTTGGCCATAGCCTGCGAGCAGGCTCTCTGGGGAAAGAGAGCCTGCAAGGATCCCTTTGATGATTCGGTGCATGCGTCCAATATTTGGACGCAGTGCTCTGATTGGTTGATAACTGATTCATATGAAGTGATTGACAAGCTTTCATAAACTTGCACTTCCCGTTTGTAAAACCGAGCAACGCAAAGCTTCGGAATTGCGGCAATGTAGAGATAAAAGTGTCATGTATTTTGATCCTGGTTGACTTTTTACTGTAAATTAATATAGTATTCATATAAAGACGAATACTAAAAGCTTGCATGCTTTATTGTGTCCTTGGCTTGTCTGACTCCTAAGCTAAGAATAATTCTTGAGAAAGACTGCACAAATTCGCAAACCGAAACCTAGGGACAAGGCATTATATCGCTTCTCTTTTATGAAACAATATTGGGAATTCTGATAATATTCAGTGCATATTGTGTGTATTAAGCTTGTTTTACAATGTTATACTGACTATTTAATATTTATAAGTATGCGGCGTTAAAATGTACAGTAATTTACTCGTCACTTTGTTTACAATAATTATCACATGCATGTTTACTGCAATTCCACTTTTTGTTGCAAAATTTGAACTATAAACATATTATTAAATTATGTCCAATGTCCATGGTATATCATATATGTCTATGTCTCACCAAAGCCATAAATTTCAGTAAGTTATATTATTACTATATATAGACTGTATACAGTGTATATTATATATTGCAGCACGAAGCAATTCCAAATAACTGAATTAGTTAGCGGGTAATATACAACTTTAAACTTACTGTGCCTACAGGAGAAACACATGCAGATTGTAATAAAAGTACAACTTGATATATTACTCTGTAAAACCTCGAGCCGTTTTAACTTTTTTAGTATGCCACAGTGGCGGTCTGTATACGAAACTATTAACGAATTTGAAACGAATCGGTTTATGTTTACAATATCGTAGTGTATTCCGGTCTGCGCTGATTGGTTGTTATTAATTGACCTGTGACATCATAATTGAAGGGTGGCACGCAATCATCATAGGGATCCTTGCAGGCTCTCTTTCCCCAGAGAGCCTGCTCGCAGGCTAAGTTGGCCATGTTTTTAATTTTTTTTTCGTGATTGCGTTCAAATTTATACTGGCCGTGCAACGGTTTGCAAGAGGGGGAATGAAACTGACGTCCAATCCGCGTAAACCTGACGTTTGAGGGACTGAGACTGACGTCCAATCCGCGTGAAAGACTGGTATCGAAGCTTCATTGTTTTCACAATCAAATGACTGAATGTTATCGTTCCAACACCGCGGAAAAACGTCTGCGCATGCGTCAACCTTACCTGTAATAGTATTGCGAACTTGATGAGAAGCTGTTCCGAACGTTTCCGAAGGCTCAAAATGGCGGAAAAAAGGAGTGACTTCATTGTGCGTCTTTACAGCCAGATTTCGAGCGCAAAAATAAACATGTCATTCTAAAAACTAGGAATAAATACAGCCAGAAGGTTCAAGAAATTGTATTGTACAAGAACATGAACTAAGGTGATTGTTGACAAATTTATCGTCTGAAACATTTTGTTTATCAACTAAGCAACGACAATTTCCGAATTTTCGTTTGAGATACATTTCTTTAAAAAAAACTGTGTCGCCAAATATAAAAAAATTTCGTGTTCACAATAATTAAACTTTAGGATTTATTCTACAATTTGAGTGGGTTAAGAAGCTTAACTTTTCGAGAGTTTTCTTAACTTTTTAGTTTGAATTTTTGTTTTGAATAATTTTGCAAAAATTTTCGAAGTCGTGTCCGTTAAAATCAACAATTTTTACATGAATTATATTTCATTCCATACTTTAAATGCCAGGATGCTTTCAATTAATGTCTAGTCTACCCATTTGCTATATTTTCTCGTTTGTTTTACTAATTTTTGACCAATTAATAAGCATGTTTTTGTTTTAGAAATTGATATTCAAATTACCCGCCATATTTACATAATTTGGTGCATGCGCAGACGTTTTTCCGCGGTGTTTATCGTTATATATATATATATATACCAGATATATATATATATAACAGCTGGGCATTTTGTACGGAGCATGCGCGAAAAAATCAATATGGCGACATATTTATAGGAGTGCTTCGTGGATTTATCTGGTTTTAAAGCTGATAAAACAACATTTCAATGAATAAAAACTCTGTAATATTTAGTGGAAAACATTAAGCTATGTAGTCCAAAGGTTTTAAATTAAAAATAAGTACTTTTGCTTTATTTTATTGCTTTTTATGCTTTCAAAATAGGCAAGCTCATTTTTTTTGAAAGAATCTAAACTAATATGTTACCCATCATTTGTTTAATCTGAACAGAAATTGATAGAACACTTGGCTACATAAGTTATAAAGGGAAATGGTAGCTGATCTGAAAGATTTCAGTATTCCTGGTACACATTTTAGCAAAGAATGACTGTAATTTTAAAAATTAAATATGCATATCAAAAACAATAGTTTTTATTAGAACAACACATAAGTTGTTATTTTCTATTTTTACAAAAACAAGTTTGGAAACAGAATCTAGTCGTCCAGTTTGATGTCATATTCCATTTATTTGGATATTTAAATAAAGGAATGTGAAATAATAATTGAAACTTGTCCAAAATTTGATACCAACACTCAAGTGAACAGATACTATCACCTAAAAATAAAAGAAAACAGAACTTAAATTTGTCATATAATGCTATGAAAAAGTCTTAGATACTACAGGCATATAGTGAGCACAATGCTTTAACAAACTCACTAAAATAAGTTAAGTTATGCTATGATAAGAGGATGGCAATATATGACAACATCAAATGTTACCATCTTCAGTGTCCAAAAAAAGTGCCGCGCGCATTTTTCCCAGCATACCCACTAACTTTTCCATGAAGGTTGACTAATAAGGATAGTTTTAAGCCATATTTCGGAGAGAGGCAATGGTAAAAATTTTAAGATATTTTTATTTATATGCCATATCACCACAGAATTTCACAAAGCAAGCATGCCTATATTCAGGATTGCCGTTAGACTCTTAAAACTGAACAAATCAATGCGGCATTTCCTATCACATAACAACCAATACTTGAACATTTTCAAAAGCATTTTTGCAGCAATTTTTACTTTATAACAAACCAATACAGGAGCAATTTCATAAGCATGTGACAACATGACATTTTCACTTCACAAGTGGATTTGTCAATTACAACATCTAGCACATTTTTCCCATGAATAGCTCAGGTTTTAATAAAACAAAGTATGATTTAACTTTCATAAAATATATTTTCTAACTGAAGGCAACGGCCAGTTTCTCCGAAATTGCAAGAGGAATATGTGTCATTTTCATCAAAATATGTATTTTAAGACACTTATTATTCCAGATGAGGAAGGACAAACAAATTATTGAACATACCTGTGGAAACAACAACAACTCGGCTTCTATCAAGAGTAAAATATGAA